AAGGAGGTATTGTTCACAGGTTACCATAGCATGTTTCCAAGCGATACAAGGCGTTGTCTATATAAGACTCAAACTCACTGCGGATCCAGACATTTGAATTGAGAAAGCTTCCTGGAGAGGTGGCGAAACGTCTTCAAATCTTGAAAACCAAGTCCAGTGGATATTTTTTGAATTTTTACGGAATGACATTGCCAATAGTATGTCTGCCAACGGAAATACTTCCTTGTGATTCTTTCCTTTTAGCTTTTACCCATCATGCTGCCGTATGCAATGCCTTGAAAATAAAAAAAACTCTCTTACTACTTATAGATTAGCATTTCTGCTTTTTTTTTACATGACCTATGCTTACATCCTGTACAATTCCACTTTTTTATAGATATGTTATTTGGGCAACAAGAATCTAAGCGCCCATAACTTAGATCTATTTGCATTTTTTTGAAACGACACAAAGCAAAAAAGGGTTAGAATTTAAATTAAGTTTTTTTTTCTTTTTTGTTTACCGACTACTGATATCTAGTGCTACTGAAATATTTTCTAGGAAACGAGTGAAAAAGCTGAGGCAGAGGAAATGTGATGTACGTTGGCAGGACCAATCGCATTAGTAGCCTAAAATGACCTAAGCTTTTCTTATTAAAACAGAGACTCTAGTTTTTTCCCCCTTTATCTCAGAACTCCTTGTTTGCAGATCTGGAATGAGAATCAGGGCTTTTTTTTTCATCAGAGAGCTTCTGTTCTGCTTCCCTGGGTCCAGATGAACCCTCAGTGCTTAAGACTATGGATAAAATCCTAATTGCACTTAACTTTTAAGCAAGATCTGTGCTGCATTAGTTATTTGTTTGCTTAGTATTCCCTTGTTTTCTCACAATTCTTCCCAATTCTTTAGTTTTGTTAAAAGAAACTGCCCTGACTCAGCTTGTAATGTTTATATCTTAAGTTCTGTATTTGTTGTCTAAACTAATGTAAGCTAATATACTGTAACCTAATTGTGTTTAGTGATATGTTGTATCTAATTTCAAACTTAGACATAAAAGATTTGTAGATTTATCAATGACTGTGGCCAGTTAGTAAATACAGTCAAGCCTATTAGAGATGACATCTGTTCTATGACACCATCTGTTATGATTATCATCAAACACAAAAGCCCAATGGGAAGTAAATGCATGTTTCACGTCTTCTTGACACACAGACTCACAGTTCCAATGGTTAGAAAAAGGAAAAGCTCACCCTGCTGTCCGTCAGGTCGTAGATCTTCTGGCTGATGTAAGTGACGTCGGGTTTTGGCTCGTTGTGTGCGGCACGGCGGGAGATGTTCCTGTTGGGCTTGGACAGACGCAGGACGGAGCCCTCTAAGCGGACATAAATGGAGTGGGTCAGGGTGGCATGGTACATCTCTGGGTCATAGCTGTGGATCTCATTCATCCAACCCTGAGGGAATTGAGAATCAAAAAAATGGTTAGTTAATAAAAGACAGACAGATAGATGTGTTCCTGTTTGTACATGAAAACCAGAGCAGATTTTTATACAGAATGATATAAAATCATTGCTATAATAGTTGCTCAGGTGAAAAATAAATAAAAAAGTGAATCCCTCTTGCTGATTCTCTTATAAAGTATCACGTTCAACATACTGAAAGAGCTCCTGTTTTGGAATAGCTGTGCCCTTTAGCTATCAGGGTCTCTGTGCAACATGCTTGGCACCTACTAGCTTATATAACTCAGTCTAAGAACTAAGCATTTCTCCTCTAGTTCTCTGCAGACTTTATTTAAGTGTGTTTTATGTATGAGAAGATTAAATATATGTGGTGATGCTTTGATCAAATGTTTATTACTCCCTTTATAATGTCGGATACAATTTCATTCTCATGTTACACCCAAGTACCCAAACAAAAGGCAAAGGGAAACTGTTACAATGAGAGAGGGAAGAAAGTGTGAAGCAAAATCCAAAATGTGAGCCTCTAAGGAAAACAGCTGAGCATGCTATGTTTGAAATAAGCCTTGGAAATTATCTAAACATAATTTTTTCTAGTTTTGCTGCTCTGACGACGTTCTTCAACTCTTTTCTGCCATTTCTTTTTCAAAACAGTGGAAGCTAGTAAAGAGGAAATAATATTACTTCATAGTAGGAAGTACAATAGAATAGCCTCAAAGTGATTTTTCATTGAGACAGATTTAAGATATTCAAAAAATAAATAAAAAACAGATTTCCTTCCAGTACAGCTCTATCCCTATACTAACCTAATGTATCTTCAAATGAGCAACAAAACGTATCTAAATGCTCCCAGCACTAAGCAATAATGTCTCATAGTTTTCATCCAGCAGCCCTTTGAATAGCTTTGGTGGGTATCAGTGCAGTGCTTTGCTTGAACCTTACCTTGAATATTCCTGGTTCTTTTACATCCAGCTGGGAAATATTCCGCTGGTCTTTCCTCCATCTCCCTGTTCTGGTCACTAATGAGGAGCACCGAGGAGCAGAGAGCCAAAGAACCAGCAGAGCAAGAATGAAACCAACAGCTATCCCATGCAGCACAGAACAAACACATGGAGGCACTGGAAGGACGAAGTAACAATACAACAACTGTGTTAAGAAGACGAGGCCAACCACAGGCACATTTTCCATTTCTTCCTCAGGTCTCCCATCCTCTACGTCCAGTTCCCTGCCCAAGCCAGTGCTTCCAGTATGGGGCTGCTGCAACATGGATTGTTCACCTTCTGGTGTCTCGGTATCTGTACACAACTCAAAGTCCTCGCTGTAGAGTTCACAGAAGTCCTCGTCTTCCTGTCGAGCCACGAGGGCTGACATGGAACAGCGTCCCAGAGTGAGAGAAGGAGACCTGTGGAGGGTGGATGAAGAAGCCTGGGTAAGAGCTGGTGCGAGTGAAAGTGATGGGAAAGAGAAAAAGGACGAGTCGGGGCCCTTTTCCGTAGGAGTCTCCTCTTCTTCTTCCCCTTCGGCGCCCTCTTCTTTGATGCTATAGTTGTTGTTAGCTTCTGTGTGCCCATTTACCGCAGTTACTCCACTGAGCTCTGATGCACTGGATGAGAGGGATTTAGCCCGATGGGCTGCACTCCCAGCAGCTCCCATACCAGACTCATCCCCCATAATTTTACTAAAAAGCTGCAAGGGGTCCGACATCACCTCCGATAACCGCCTCTTGGTGTCCTCTATCCTGGCCTCCACCTCCTGGACCTTGAAGAAAGATCTCCCATCTGGGGACATAATAGGAGAAGAGGGGGCTGTTTTGGAGTCTCCACCTGCTTGAGTGACTGCAACGGGGCAGGAGGACAAGCGAGGCTGAGAGAACTGCTTGAAAAGCTGCATGTTACGAGGCGGAGCGCGGTGGGTTGGCTGTATCTGCTGGTGCTGAGGAGGGTGTTGAAGAGGCCCTTCCTGATGTTCACCCTTTGAAGTGTCCGTCGAGAGAGACTTAACAAACGATTTCATTAAGTGTCTGTGTCGGGCATGTGGGGGTACGATTACAGGAGCAGTTTCTCGAGAGTCGACATCATTTGACAAAGATCTAACAAGGCTGAGAAAAGGCTTGGAAGAGGAGAGGGCTGCAGACTTACAAGGAGAAGAAGAAGCGGAACTAATCAGGGGTGGTTGGGTTGGGCGATCTGATGGCCAGGAGGAGCTGGCAGGAGGAGGGGAGCTCAGGTGGGAGTGGGCTGAAACTGGATTAGCAGTAATTGCAAAAGAAGGTGTTTGTGGATGTGAATCCAAAGGCTGCTCAGGCAGGAGAGCAGAGGCAGCAGGTAGTGGAGCTGCTGAGATCTCCTCCTCCACAGATTCAAACCCTTTCTCCACTTTTGCCTCCAAGCCTTTTGCAGCACATTGCTCATCAGTCCTGGCGGGTTGGCTTTGAGCTCCTGCTTCACATCCAACAGATAACCTATAGAGCTCCTCTTCCTCATCTTCCTCCTCCTTTCCCAGAGCAGAAAAGTGAATGGTGATAGTGTCACGAGAGTGGGAACGCTGCACCTGCAGTTTGGGTCCTGGTGCCTGACGAAGAGGAGTGTCAGCATGCTGGCCACTTCCCTTTCTGCTGCTGCCCTGACTGCTCATCATCCCCCTTCACAGGGCTCACAGCCTGGAGGAGACAGAGGGAGGCAAGAGGATGGAGCAGTTATCAAAACGCAGTTCATCACATACTTTAAATGAATGCAAGGAGCCACAGGAAGTTATGGTGGATGGGATAAAATCTCTAGAGAACAGTACTAATGTAAAGGGACTGGAGAAGTATGTCCGTGTTCTCTGACCCATTAGCCCTCATTATGTATAGATGAAGCTGGCATGCTGGGTCAGCACGCTCTCTCTCACACTTGTCTGTAGAAAAACTCAATTACTCACCACAGTATGGCAACAAGATTAATGGGTTTCTGCAGAACACATCAGTTTAAGGAGATTGTTCATCAACAGGTGAGCTTTAGTTCACCCCAACCCCAAAAAGGTGTCTTATGAAGATGAAGATATGATGAAAGTGGGAAAAAGACTGCTACCATGTCTATAGAGAATGTTTTGATTACAGGTTTGGCTATCCTTAGAGATGATTGGGCAATATCGTTTGGCATATCTGATTGAGTTACATCAGGAGATGAGGCCTTGATTTATTAGAACACCTGTTTGTTGAACACATCCTGTAAACTAAAGCTAAGATACTTTTGAAGCAAAAGTAAGCAGAACAAACTTGAATCTTTGTGAAAATTTGGAGTTTCTTGTTTATGTCCACTACTTTGGGGGCTACTCCAAGGCTTGTGCTATGTTCAGACTGCAAGCGCTGGAAGCAGCAAGAAAAGCTTCTGCTGCTTCATTTTTGATGCTTGTGCACATTGATGTCTGATGCGCCTCAAGTGCATCTTTGATGTTCCTGAAGCGCATCCAGTAAAGTGTGTCCAGATGCATCTGATGCTTCTGCTGCTCCTGTGTTCAATGGCAGAGAGCGGGTTTGCTATATTTACTGTTATAAGTATATAAAAATAAGTTTTAATATGTTTTTGAGTGAGAAAATCCACCTGAAAATATCGTCTGTGCAGTCAGTTCATAATTACGACCCTGCCTTCAAATGTTATTATCGCAGTTGTAAATCCCCTCCAATGGCAGCCTCTAACCAGGTCGCCCCTTCTGGGTTTTCTGCTACTGTTCCCGGCGACTGAAAGGCGTTTTTTTTCATGTACGTAATCCAAACTGCAGGCACCAGAATAATAAAATATAAGATATTTTGCCAGCAGGTTTCGACATTTAAGTCAATTTAGGCAATAATAAACTGTTTCAGAGGAGTGATCATAGCGATCTGCATCAGCAGTGCTGTGTCTGTCTCCCTGCCAGCTCTTAGATCAGCTTCTCTGATTGGTTGATGTGGCACATTAAGCAGCAAAAGTTCACTTTTTCATCTCCAGCAGTTGCTGCTTTTGCAGCATCTGCTGCGTTAGATGCTCTGAAGCTCATGAGGCGCTGCTTCAGCTAATCAGACCCTGCAGGACGTTTTGCGGCACCTTTATGCGATTGACTTGAAATACCATTGACTTTGCCTGTAAACTCGCTGCTTCAGCTGCCTCTAGTGCGTTCGGTCTCAGAGTAGTATTAGCTAAATCAAACAGGCAGACCATTTATTTAAGTTGACCTTTAATAGGAAAATAAGACATTCTCCAGTGATTGTAGAATAAATATGCCAGACACTGCGAGGCAAACCAAATCAACCAAATCAGAAGCAAAGGCGTCTAGATAAGAGACAAAACACTATCAGATAGGATTAAGAAAGTTGGCCAACACTTTATTAAAAAATGCTAATGATAATTGGAATGCATTTGATGGTTTAATCTCCATGAAAGGAGAGACCGCCAAAATAATTGAACCATACAGAGCTTCATGACATTGCTCTTTCAATGGTCCAAAAACCAAGCAAGCATTGCAAATATAACACAAAATGTTAAAACAGAGTGGATACTGAGCTCTAAGAAAAGAGAAATAAAGTTTTAACCAAATTCCAAAAACAGTAGAAACAAACTTATTCATGGTCCCATGGATTTGCAGCATGAAATACTCTCTTATTAAGATGTTTGTGCTTGTTTACCCTTTTCTGTTGTACAGAAACATCATCCCTGGTTAATGTTACACAAATGTGCACAGAGACAGAAACTCTGCAAACAGCCAGTGGCTTTCAGGCTTCTGGAGTGCACATAGAAATGGCCCGTAATGGAAGACGGAGGAGGGATGGAGGGAAACAACATAGCATTCGTGAGTGTGATTGCCTGCATTTCAGAGAAAGTCTCAGAGCCCCTGGGGGCTCTCTGGTTGGCACCACATCTCCAAAGATTGTATTTAGCCTGGATGAAATAACAGAGCATTTGACTTTCCCAGTCAACCTTTCAACTTGATTGTGGCACAATAGGGTTTTCTGCATGTGTTTGTGTGTGGGTTTATTCTTGGCTTTGCTAGGGGCAGATCAGGCAGAATGAAAACAAGGAAAGAAACGACTGAACAAACAGAGCAACTAAAGAGAGGAAAAATGCCGGGGGGTTGCCAGGTTTGAGGAGCCGTCAGAAGACCTTTCATGGACAAACCTCTGACAAGAAGTCCTTTTAAAAAAAAGAAGAAGAGGGGAATGGAAATTGCAGAGAGAGAAATGGTAATAGAGGCAGAGATGTGTGCAAATAAAGGACAAGAGATAAGACACAGGAGACAAATGGGCTAGAAGAAGGGGCCACGGTGATGGAGGTGGCTGTTGTTGTGCCCAAAGCCTGAAGGACAATTTAAAAACATGGAGAAGGTTGACAGGGTTGGCAGACTGATGGCCCGATGATTTCCTGGAGTCAGTTTAGCAGGATGCAGCGAAAAGACAAATGAGATACAGCTTTGCACTCTCAATCACGCAAATAAGGAGTTCTGGTAGAAAAAACAACATGCCTCAATTACAAGGGTAGATAAATAGAATTTAGCACGTACTTCAATATTTTTTGCACATTTTTTCCCCCCAAATAAACTAATTCTTTAAGCTAACCGACATCTCATTTCTACAGCGCCTTTAAATGAAGTACTACACACAGGCTGAAAAAAACCTTCCACGGCTCTTGCTGAATTCATCATTAGAAGCAGATCTCTTTATGTTGGAGGGCTCACCCGCAGCTTTAGTTGGTCCCTGTCTTCAAAGTGCTACTTTCATCTAAAAGCTTTGTGTTTGTTTAAGCTGCCTGTGGACAAGAATAGGCGTGGAGACAAGAGGAGAGCAGCGGAGAGGAGAGGAGACTGGCATTGAGACAAGGCTCATCCAATTAATCAAAGCAAGCTGGGCCACTCTAATCAGCTAAAGCCTGAAGACGGGAGACGAGAGAGAAAGGAAGGAGGTTAAAAGCAGCAAGGTAGGAGAATTATATATGAGACCGAAAGACTATGTAAAAGGAAGGTGGGTTTATAAGACGTGCACATGCGACAAAAGAATCAAGAGTTTAATAATGGCAACTTGAAAAAAATAATACAGAAAAGGTTTGCATATTCAAAACTATCTCCCACAACACATCAGAAAATACACTCAACTCATTACAGTTAACAAACCTTTACCAATTCCCCACTAAGGGAAGAGAAGCTTACTGAGGCAGAAATGGAAATTTATGCCCAACAATTTGCTGAGGCTTCAGCATGTTGTGCACCAAAAAGTGATGAGTTTAGTCAGTTATAAAGGGCTGCCAACTGATTGAACCCACAGAGCCAGGATGATCTTTTACTGCTAAGCCAACTAATCCAATACATCAAACCTCAGATTAGCAGCAACAATACTGCTTTTAAATGTGTCTGATCTCTGTCTATTTATATTTGACTCCAAAGTAATGTGGTATATAGAGTATAGTACAAGTTTATTGTGAACACTAAGACTGAATGTGAGGTGCCAAGGTTCAATGGTAGCAAACCCAAAAATCTGAAATGTCCTTGTCCACCATGTTTGACAGAACTGAGGCCACGGGGCTGTGATATATTTCTAATAATCTCTACTTGGTCTCAGTTGCCCAAATACAACAAAACATTGCTTTTCATTTAAATGCACTTCTCTAACCCTAAATCATTCATTCTTTCAAGAAGAAAAAAAGAAGATATTTCTCTGGTAACCCTTGCAATGAACCTAAGCTTGATCACTTATTTATCTATAGGTATAAAACATGACAACATACTTTTAATGTTTAAAAAGGCCTAAAGACACTGAGATATTTTTTTTATTTTATTTGAGCTCTTTTTTTCCCTCTTTTAACTAATTTCATCAAGAATTCCATAGTGGTGACGTTTGAGTTATTGCAACATTTAAATTCCCTTTAAGATTAATATAGTATTTTTGAATTTAAATCATAATAATAATTTTAATAATAATAATTTTATTGCTATTCCCACTTATTAAATATATCACATCAGCTGATCAATCAGAGGCTGTGTCGGATAAACCAATTAAGCATCTCATCAAACATTTAAGAAAAAATGTATGGATATCAGTGTGGGGTTTTCTAATTGGTGTTCATGGTTTGCCTTTCGTTTTAAGCTTTCTTTAAGAACTGAATTTTTTGGAGATGTTGGCTATTTCAGTTGTTAGAAAATTAGTTTTTATCATGAAAAGAAAATAGGTCACACTAAAATCAAACAATGATATATTGGTCTGTGGAATGGATTAGGCATGTTGTTTCTGGTTGATAGCAATTCCCTAATCTTCTTTCCATTTATACTTTGAATTAAAGTTGTTTTGTAGGACTATGGGATATGCATCTGTTCAATTTTAAGGGTTCAAATCTGTGAAAACCTGAAATTTTCAAAACCATCTTTCAGTTCTCAGAGGGCCCCTCTGCTGTGTAGCAATGTGTCTTATTTGGCGGGTAGTTGCATCAGTAAAGGAAAAAAGGAGGGAAAACTCTGCATTGTCAGTGTGCAAGCTGTAATGACTTGCTGCGGTGACCCCTAAATAAAGGAAGCAGCTGAAAGGACACATCCTTCAGACCACAGTTCTGTGGTCCGATATATTCAGGTACGTTGGAAGAATTTGAATTCAGAATTCCCCTGTTTGACTTAAAATAAAATGCACCTTCATATCCAACAGT